TTTGAGACGGAGTTTCACTCATGTTACCCAGGCTGGAGTGCAATGGCGCGATCTCGGCTCACCGCAACCTCCGCCTCCTGGGTTCAGGCAATTCTCCTGCCTCAGCCTCCTGAGTAGCTGGGATTACAGGCACGCGCCACCATGCCCAGCTAATGTTTTGTATTTTTTTAGTAGAGACGAGGTTTCACCATGTTGACCAGGATGGTCTCGATCTCTTGACCTCATGATCCACCCGCCTCGGCCTCCCAAAGTGCTGGGATTACAGGCTTGAGCCACCGCGCCCGGCCTTTGGTTTCTCTCTCTTTTGATCTCCATGGACAACTTACCTGAGATATATTCTGATAGCAACCTGGCTTACCCTCCACACTCAGCCTTTCCAGCACTCATCAGCTTAGTGGTAATCTCCCACACTAGGTATCCATTCATCTCTCTCTCCGTCTCTCTGAGACAGAGTTTTGCTCTTGCTGCCCAGGATGAAGTGCAATGGCACGATCTCAGCTCATCGAAACCTCCACCTCCGAGGTTCAAGTGATTCTCCTGCCTCAGCCTCCCAAGTAGCTGGGATTACAGGCATGTGCCACCACGCCTGGCTAATTTTGTATTTTCAGTAAAGAGAGGGTTTCTCTGTGTTGGTCAGGCTGGTCTCGAACTCTAAACCTCAGGTGATCCGCCCGCCTTGGCCTCCCAAAGTGCTGGGATTACAGGCGTGATCCACCGCGCCTGGCCAGCCCTTGCCTTTTTCTCCTGTCCACAGAGACCCCGCAAACAAGCACATCAGTGGATCTGGGTGGCTCGGGAGTCTCCTACAGCAGCCAGGAGACCCTGGTACAGACAGGGCCTCAGTTTTTCCATCTGTGAAATGGAAACGTGGACAGACTTGTCTGTAGCCTCCCACGTGAGGATCCTTGGACTGAGAGGATACTAGGAGGGGTAATACAGCGCATTAGCCCTCCTAGTGATTCCCACCTCCGTCCCTGGAATGAAGGAAACCCGGGTGTTCTGGCTTTGCTGATGCCTCTCGGGTGACCTGGCTGAAGCTAATCTCTCCTCTTTAGGCCAGGAGGGAATCTGTGAAATGGGCTTTGAAGCTCGCCTTGCCCTTCTCCGCCCGGTCCCGGCCGGTGTCCGATTGGGACCAAGGCTTCACCCATAGCCTTTGAGAGCAGCCCCCACCCCATCACCAGGACGCATCCCACGCCACGAGAAATCTCGCGAATTCCCGCGCTGAAGCGAAGTAAAGACGTTTGACCTTCTTTGGTTTCCGTAGTTCCGAGTTGCGGTTTCCGAGTTAGTGCTTCCGGGTTGCAGCCAGGGCGTCCTCCGCGGTGGTGCAAGCGGAACCAAAGCCCGGAGGTTTCAGTGAGTAGGGGGCCGATGTGAGCTTGAGCGTCCCCCTTTAGACTCCCCAGTTCGATTCCATGAGTACCCCGGTGCAGCTTAGCAAGAGGGTCCAGGATTTTTGGATCCCCAGCCCTCTGACAAGGCTTCCAGTTCAGTTCTCCCCTCCCAGGATTTCGACTCAATTCAGCGAAGTCACCGCCCCGTCTGAGAAATGAGAACACCAAGGCTCAGAGCACAGCCCAGAGGCACCATCTGCCAGACCCCGTCCCCTCCCCCGGCTCCTCTCGATCATCATTGAAACCCTGTCCCTGCTCCAGGTCCCCTTCTCTAGGGTCCAAGGCCCCTTGCAGACCTCTGCCTCAGCCGCAGGCCCCTCAATCACCGTCGCCTCGTCTCCCTGACTGTCCGCAGGCCTGGGCAGAATGGCCGCATTCCGGTCTGGTCTTCTGGTGCTGACGACGCCGCTGGCCTCCCTGGCCCCTCGCCTGGCCCCCATCCTGACCTCGGCGGCCGGGCTGGTGAATGACACACTCTATGTACACCTGCAGCCGGGCATGAGCCTGGAGGGCCCGGCTCAGCCCCAGTCCACCCCCGTGCAGGCCACGTTTGAGGTTCTCGATTTCATCACGCACCTCTATGCTGGCGCCGACGTCCACAGGCACCTGGACGTCAGAATCCTACTGACCAATATCCGGACCAAGAGCACCTTTCTCCCTCTCCTGCCCACCTCAGTCCAGAATCTCTCCCACCCGCCAGAAGTTGTGTTGACAGACTTCCAGACCCTGGATGGAAGCCAGTACAACCCGGTCAAGGAGCAGCTAGTGCGTTATGCCACCAGCTGTTACAGCTGTTGTCCGCGACTGGCATCGGTGCTGCTATACCCCGATTATGGGACAGGAGAAGTGCCCGTGGAGCCCCTTGATGTTCCCTTACCCTCCACGATCAGGCCAGCTTCCCCCGTGGCCAGGTCTCCAAAGCAGCCGGTGCGTGGCTACTACCGTGGCGCTGTGGGTGGCACGTTCGACCGCCTGCACAATGCCCACAAGGTGTTGCTCAGTGTCGCGTGCGTCCTGGCCCAGGAGCAGCTTGTGGTGGGAGTAGCAGACAAAGATCTGTTGAAGAGTGAGTGAGAGGGACCCTGGATTAGAGCAGTGGAGGATCCCCAAATCTCCCCGCCTCCCACCCTTATGTCAAGATCTCAGAAGGGTAGGACCATCCATTACTTCTCACCCTTCCCAGTTGTCACAGTGCTTGACACTCAGTTGGTGCTAAGGACATTTTGTCAAATGAATGGCTTTCTCAGCATGTGGTCCAATCACCACTCAATCAGAATTCCCCAAATGTGAAGCAAAGGGATCTGCACTTAGCCAGTTCTCCAGGTGAGGCACCATAGGCCTTCCCAGTTGAACCCTTTCTGCCACGCCCCTCTGGAGATGCTGTACTTAGGGACACTTTCCCCAAACTGGCCCATACTTTTTCTCCCCAGTAAAAAGATCTCACTGTTCTTCTGGGCTCCTTCCCCAGGCAAGTTGCTCCCTGAGCTGCTCCAACCTTACACAGAACGCGTGGAACATCTGAGTGAGTTCCTGGTGGATGTCAAGCCCTCCTTGACTTTTGATGTCATTCCCCTGCTGGACCCCTATGGGCCTGCTGGCTCTGACCCCTCCCTGGAGTTCCTGGTGGTCAGCGAGGAGACGTATCGTGGGGGGATGGCCGTCAACCGCTTCCGCCTGGAGAATGTAACCCCTGAGGGAGACTGGCAGAAGGAGTGGATGGGGGGCGGGGAAGGACATTTTTTGGGGCTGTGGGGGCTAGCTGAGAGAAGTAGGGGCTCAGGATGGTGGGAAGAAGCAAGGAGGAACTGCTTCTCAGCTTGCCTGCTAGGGTGGAGGAGGAGCCTGGGTAGGAAGGGGAGGATAAGGGGGCAGGTTGGTTGTCAGGGTCTTCCTCTCACTCCCTCCTTCCCTCTTTTCGCCCTTTCCTCTTTACGCCAGGACCTGGAGGAGCTTGCCTTGTACCAGATCCAGCTGCTGAAGGACGTAGGACATATGGAGAATGAAGAGGACAAAGTCAGCTCCTCCAGCTTCCGTCAGCGAATGCTGGGAAACCTGCTTCAGCCTCCATATGTAAGCTCCTCTTTCTCCTTCCCACCTGCCCTCCATCCCTCCTGCTTGGATGTGCTGGAAATGCTGGACGGTAGAAGCTTAGGGGCTCAACCCCCGGCATGAGGCTGAGGGCCCCAGTAACTGTGGGTTCACTTTAACCTACCCCCAGGAGAGGCCAGATCTCCCCCGGAGTCTCTATGTGATTGGGCTGACTGGCATCAGTGGCTCTGGGAAAAGCTCAATAGCTCAGCGGCTGAAAGGCCTGGGGGCGTTTATCATTGACAGTGACCACCTGGGTCATCGGGCCTATGCCCCAGGTGGCCCTGCCTACCAGCCCGTGGTGGAGGCCTTTGGAACAGGTAATAACTGGGGGAAGCTGGGCGTGGCCTGGAATGAGGAGCTGGCGAGGCCTCTGTGTTCAGCTCTCTCACTCTTTTGTCCAGATATTCTCCATAAAGATGGCACCATCAACAGGAAGGTCCTAGGCAGCCGGGTGTTTGGGAACAAGGTAAATGACAGCTGCCTAAGGGTTCCTAAGCCTCGACTAAACCCAGGGGTCAGAGTCCTGTGGACCTCTGTGGTCTGGCCCAGAATGCCGATTCCACTGACCTGTTCCCAACACCACGTTGCTTGTGGGCTGGCTCCTTCTAGAGAAGGTAACCTCTGCCCACGCCCTCTGTGCCCCTCCCCAGAAGCAGCTGAAGATCCTCACGGACATTATGTGGCCAATTATCGCAAAGCTGGCTCGAGAGGAGATGGATCGGGCTGTGACTGAGGGTGAGTGGGAGGGAGGATGGGAACAGCCAAGGGGACAGTTAAGCTGATTCTTCCTCACGGGCAGCTTCCCTGCCCCAGGTGGGACCATCTGCTCTCCCTGGGACTGTGTTTTGTGGGCGCTCTGCCTGGGAGAGCATCAGCGCTGTTGGCGGTGACTGGGGTCTCCCCACAGGAAAGCATGTGTGTGTGATTGATGCTGCTATGCTGCTTGAAGCCGGCTGGCAGAACCTGGTCCATGAGGTGTGGACTGTTGTCATCCCTGAGACTGAGGTATCTTGGCCGCACCCCCCACGCCATCTCTACTGCAGACTCTATCCTGCCGAGCTGGAATTCTTCCTGACAAATGCCTCGTCTGTACCCAGGCCGTAAGACGCATTGTGGAGAGGGATGGCCTGAGTGATGCCGCGGCTCAAAGCCGGCTGCAGAGCCAGATGAGCGGGCAGCAGCTTGTGGAACAGAGCCACGTGGTGCTCAGCACCTTGTGGGAGCCACATATCACCCAGCGTCAGGTTGGTGCCCAGGGCAAGGCTGGGCTATGGGGAAGGAGTCTCTAGTGAGTGCTGCCTGACCCCACCCTCTCTTCCTTCCAACATCCTGGCCTGTCTGAAGGTGGAGAAAGCCTGGGCCCTTCTGCAGAAGCGCCTTCCCAAGACTCATCAAGGCCTCAACTGAAAAGGGGTTCTCAGTGGGGCCAGATTGGCCCCTGGAGCTGACAAGCGACTGGGCGGTGAGGAGAAATGGGGGCCTTGATGCTCACCCTGGTTCATGCCCAGAGGTCAAAGCTACGCTGTGTGGGACATGGCCAAGCCTGGTGGACACAGGAGGCCTACACAGCACACTGGTATCTGGCCAACATTGAGGATGTGGTTTGTGGGGGAAGCAGGCCCCTCCCCACTCTTGCCTATGGGTGTCTGTGATACCCACAGCTGACTAGGGTTGGGGCAAGTACTGGAACCTGTAACAGAAATAAAGTGTATGTTCCCAGGTGTTGCCTGTATGGTATCTGCTTCCTGCTTCATTGCCTGTAAGTATCTTTGGGATCCCTAAGCCACAAGTGCAGGGCGCAGGCCTGTGCTGGAAGCCTAGGAGTGCAGTGATTAAGAGGATGGCCTATGAAGTGAGCCAGAGGTGAGCCTTGGCCCTCCCACTGACCAGGTGTGTGCTTTTAAGTAAGTTGTAGACTTCTAGGTACTGCCGTTTTTTTTTGTTTTGTTTTTATTTTATTTTATTTTATTTATTTTTTTTTTTGAGACGGAGTTTCGCTCTTGTTACGCAGGCTGGAGTGCAATGGCGCGATTTCGGCTCACCGCAACCTCCGCCTCCCGGGTTCAGGCAATTCTCCTGCCTCAGCCTCCTGAGTAGCTGGGATTACAGGCACGCACCACCATGCCCAGCTAATTTTTTGTATTTTTAGTAGAGACGGGGTTTCACCATGTTGGCCAGGATGGTCTCGATCTCTTGACCTCGTGATCCACCCGCCTCGGCCTCCCAAAGTGCTGGGATTACAGGCTTGAGCCACCGCGCCCGGCCTTGTTTTGTTTTTAATCTGAGAGGCCGCATAACCTAGCTAGCGGGCTCTTTGCAGGGGTTCATTCCACACGGGTCCTGCCAGACACTGGGCTGGGTGTTGGAAGATGAGCATTCGACGCGCCAGGCGGGGACTCTGTCCTCACAGAGCTTGCAGCCAGTGGGGTCGGACGATGTGGCTGGGTGGGGCGTCTCTCTGCCCGACTCCTGACACATGGGCCAGCACTGCAGGTCCGGGGCGCGGGGACGTCGCCCGCAGGTAACGTGGGGCGTGACAGTGCGCAGCTGGATCTGGTACAATCTGTGGTGGTGTGCAGACAAGCCAACTGAGGGGACTCCATCTTACAGAACGCGCCTCGTGTCGCCGCCAGTCCAGTGCATAACCCAGGAAGGGCAGGCACGTCGGGGAAGAATCCCGAAGGTGGCCGGCTCCAGTCCAAGCGCTGGGCTTTCACGCCTGGAGCCGGGGAGTAAAGTATTTGGACCGCGCATGCGCGATGCTCTTGCCCTGTCCCGCCTCTCGATCGCGGATTGGTGTGCGCGGGTCACGTGGGCGCACCTCCCGCTTCCTCGCCGCCGGGGGCTGGCCCATTGGCTCATTTCCGGTCCGGTGGGTCCAAGATGACGGAGTCGGGCGCCTCTCCGGAGGACCCCTGGGTCAAGGCAAGCCTCGTGGGCGCGCACGCTGGAGAGGGTAGGGTGGGTCGGGCTCGTGCACGTAAGGGGGCCGGAAGACGACGGGCCTCCCTCCTGTCCCCAAAGTCCCCTATGCTCTCTCTGCCTCGGGGTTGCAGAGAAGTCAACTCTCACCCCGCCTGTGCCAAGGTGGGGAAACAAACGAGGCGTGTGCGCGCGAGTGGGGAGAACGGGGGGCTGGGGTGAAGTCGGGGCAAAAGGGATCATACGGAGGGGCGGCGCTTGCACGGCCTAGCCCGTGCCAGTCTCGGGGGAATCATTAAGCTGCCCGGGCACCCTGCAGAGAGAGAGGCACCTCCCCCCAGGGGCGGAGGTCTGACGGGCTTCTCCTGTGCTCTGTGCCGCAGGTGGAATATGCCTACAGCGACAACAGCCTGGACCCCGGTGAGTAGCTACCCAATCTTAAGCTCTAGAGGGTCACTCGCGCCCCGGCTTTCTCGATTCTTGTGACGTTGTCAGCCACGCCTGAGCACAGTCCACTGTCCCGGAGCAGAGTTCCTGGCTTGAGACAGCAGGAGCTGAAGGACAGGGACAGAAAACAACCGAGGGTGCATCTAGTTCCCTCTGCTGTGGAACAGGGAAGTAGTGGAACTAGTGGTAGCTGATCACTCACAGCCTCATCACGTCCAGATAGATGCCCGTTTGTGAGCCAAGGGGTATCATGTAGGTCTATGGAGCAGTGTAGACACTAGGGACCAGAGCATTGCAGCGTGGTCTGGCAGAAAGTAGGGGGCCCAGTATGGTTGGCTTTGGGTTGAAGGGAAGAGGTCAGCATTTAAGAAAGCCATCGTGTCCCACAGGTGTCTGAGGTTCTGGCAGTGTTGCCCACCCCACCCCTTAGTGATTGGGCCTCTCTTTTTCAGGGCTTTTTGTAGAAAGCACGCGCAAGGGGAGTGTAGTGTCCAGAGCTAATAGCATTGGTTCCACCAGCGCCTCTTCTGTCCCCAACACAGGTAGGCAGCAATATCCTCCCCACCTGGGGGGGCTCAGATATGCCATAATTGCAGTACCTTTCCTAGGCAGGGAAGCGCCAGCCATCCACACGGGGGTGGTGGAGCCAAAGGATCAGACACAGGATCTCACCATCTTTCACCTCATCTAGAACATTCGGTTCTTCTCTCCATATTGCCATCTCTGGCACCAGGTTCTTCCCAGCTGGGGAAAGGTGGGCTAGCTGGTCCCCACTGGGCCCCAAGATGACCTCTCCCTGCCCCCACCTCTGAGCATAGATGACGAGGACAGTGATTACCACCAGGAGGCCTACAAGGAGTCCTACAAAGACCGGCGGCGGCGCGCACACACTCAGGCTGAGCAGAAGAGGAGGGACGCCATCAAGGTGACCAGGGGAGGCCTATGCCTCAGCCAGTGTAGGAGGGCCCTGCACAGTTCAGCTTCCCTGTGCCCTGACCCTCTCAGACAGTCCCAGGCACCCTTGGGGGCAGCTAATCTAGTCCCAGACACAGAGACTCCTGTTGAGTTTGTGAGCATAGAACTTGGTGTCATGGAAGAAATTTGTGCCAGTTTGCCTTAGTCTCTCAGGGTTAAGGAAACCATTTCCCCTGCTGTCTCCACAGAGAGGCTATGATGACCTTCAGACCATCGTCCCCACTTGCCAGCAGCAGGACTTCTCCATTGGCTCCCAAAAGCTCAGCAAAGCCATCGTTCTGCAAAAGAGTATGGCAAGGGAAAGCCCTGGAGGGGTTGGAGCCAAGAGGGGCTGTGAAGAGGCCAGCGCCTCCTACCCTCCCATGTCCTGGCCCTGGTGTGGTGGTTGCCAAGGGATAGTTGGGGTCTGGGGAAGCGGAACAAAGTCAGCCTTGTCTTCCTGGTTGAGATTACTTCTGTGTCTACCCTCTTTTCCTGCCCCCACCCTAGCCATTGACTACATTCAGTTTTTGCACAAGGAGAAGAAAAAGCAGGAGGAGGAGGTGTCCACATTACGCAAGGATGTCACGGCCCTAAAGATCATGAAAGTGTAAGGGGCGCTGAATGGGGGGAACCAGAGCTTCTGAGGCAACTTCATTGCACATCTTCCCTTGTTGAAAGGCCACATTGGTTACTACAGTACAGATGCTACCCTCAGTTCCTGAGCTAGCCAGTAGGACTGTGTATTCCCAACTGTCCTTACGCATGGCAGACACTCAGGAAATGCCTGTTGGATTAATGAAGGGAAGGTTGGAGAAAGGGTCACCATTCCTGGCCTAGAAGCAGTTATCTCCCTGATATTGAACCCCACCCAGTTCATCTCTGGGGATGCCACTCCTCGGAGTACACAGGATAGCCCCATCATTCTTGGGTGGGCGGAGCCACTGCAGCACCCCAGCCCTGGCCTGCATGCTTTCAGGAACTATGAGCAGATTGTGAAGGCACACCAGGACAACCCCCATGAAGGGGAAGACCAGGTCTCTGACCAGGTCAAGTTCAACGTGTTTCAAGGCATCATGGACTCCTTGTTCCAGTCCTTCAATGCCTCCATCTCGGTGACCAGCTTCCAGGAGCTGTCGGCCTGTGTCTTCAGCTGGATTGAGGAGCACTGTAAGCCTCAGGTAAGGGATCAATGGGCCTGCAGTTTTCTCCACTGTCAGGCAAGGTGGCCCAAGCCATCAGTGTTGAGAAAAGCAGCTGCTCCAAGATTTCTCAAGAGTATTTCTACAACGTTCGGGACTCTCGTATTTTCCCTTTTCTTTGCTAACCTACATCTTCATGTTACAGTTTCATTTGGCAAGTGTGATGTGAGCTCAGTGTCAAGTCCAGCTCGTGGCTTTTGTCTAGCCCATGTTGTGGCTGCCCTGTATGGAAGCCCCAGGCAGCTGCAGAATTGGAAACATGAAAATTCTGGGACCCTACTTCCAGGTCCACTAAAGTCATTGCCCAAGAGCTTTTTATTATTTAAAATGGGGAAATATGCTAATAGTATTGCACTAAGTTTTCTAATTGAAGTCTGATTGCTTTTTCTGAGGCTTTAAACTTGTGTCTGAGATTCTTTCTTGTTCCTTTCCCAACATTTTTTATTGTGAAACGTTAAATTTATTGTGATGTTGAGAGGATTTTACAGTGACCACTTGTATACCCCCTACCTAAATTTTACTGAAAACATTTTGTTTTTTTTGTTTTTTTTTTTGAGACAGAGTCTTGCTCTGTTGCCCAGGCTGGAGTGCAATAGTGTGATCTCTGCTCACTGCAACCTCCGCCTCCCGGGTTCAAGCAATTCTCCTGCCTCAGATTCCCAAGTAGCTAGAATTACAGGTGCCTGCCACCACGTGACTAATTTTTATGTTTTTAGTAGAGACAGGGTAGCCACCATGCTGGCCAGGCTGCTCTCAAACTCATGACCTCAGGAGATCCACCCACCTTGGCCTCTCAAAATGTTGGGGTTACAGGCGTAAGCCACCGTGTCCGGTCTGTATTTCCATCTCCATTCTATTTCAGGAACACCTCAAAGTAAACTGTAGACATCAGTACTTCTTGGGGGGAATTTTGTTTTGTTTTTAGATAGTCACTGTCACCTAAGCTGGAATGCAGTGGTGTCATCTCAGCTCACTGCAACCTCTGCCTCCCAGTTTCAGGCGATTCTTATACCTCAGCCTCCTGAGTAGCTGGGACTACAAGTATGCTAATTTTTGTATTTTTAGCAGAGACAGGGTTTTACCATCTTGGCCAGGCTGGTCTTAAACCTCAGGTGATCTGCCAACCTCGGCCTCCTGAAGTGCTGGGATTACAGGTATAAGCCACTGCACCTGACCCCTGGGGGGGCTTTCTTTCT